ATGTAGAATCACATCAAACATTCAACATATGCAGCCAGTTCTACTGCCTTTAGCTCCTTTAACACGCTGTTTCCTGACTGTGTCCCTTCAGCATTGCTCTGAACAACTGGTGGTTCGTGGCCCATTTGACAGACCTGTTGGATCATTGCAAACTGCTCCAGTCCCACAACCTCCAGTGAGGATGCTGTTTCACCGTGTTGATGCTTTTACACATTTTAATGCTCTTCATTCAGCTCGCATTCACCACAACTTTACTGTGTTTGTGTTCAGCTTCGGCTCCAACCTGAGAGAGTTTCTCCTGTTAGAATATGCTTCTGGTCTCTTCACTCACCACAGGTGTGTTTAGCTCAAGGTTCAGTACGATAATTATCCTACTACATATTTACACAGAGTGGGAAATGCTTATTTCTCAATCATTGACTGTGTATTTGAGTTGGCTCCATCAGGATGTTATAATTGCCTCTTTGGATGTTTTTTGTGTCTTTGGCATGAAACAGTCTTTGGCAGTTGGCTGTGGATTACTTTGACAACTGCCCAGAGTTCGGCCGCGTCTACCTGGAGCTGCAGATTGAGCGAGTTCCTTTAGACACGGAGCGCAAAGCCCTGAAGGTGCTCAGGATCTGTGAGCAGAGGCAAATGTCTGAGCAAGGTAGTGTTTGGTTTCTGTCCTTCTCTCACGCTGTATCCACTTTCTCCACACATAGAGGTAAAGCCTCCTGTTTTCCAGTGCAGTAGAGACTTAAAGCGTTGACTTCTTGTCCTACCCAGTGCGGAGTATCTGTAAGATCATGGCTATGCGAGCTCTGAGGAACAACAGACTGGGCTCTGCTCTGTCCTGGAGCATCAGGGCCAAAGACGCTGCCTTTGCCACCCTCATTTCAGAGAGGTTAGTTCCTTTACAGCAGACTTGTTCTCCAACAAGCCCAGACACTGACGAAGGCTTTAGGCTGGATCAGACAGTGCTGTGTCTCTCTCTCTATCATTAAACAACGACATGCTTTTGTTTCCTCCCCAAACAGAAAAAAAAGATAACTCTGGTCTTCATGAAGGATTTGATCTGGTTGATTCAAAACAAATGAGGCATTGAAGATAAACGACTGCTTCTTGATGTCTTCATGAGGTTGCCTCTTTTCAAACCATCTTAAGATGCCGTGTGTGTGTTTTAGGTTCTTACAGGATTACTGCGCCAGAGGAACCTTCTCTGATCTGGATCTGATCGACAACTTGGGTCCAGCGATGCTGCTCAGCGACAGGCTTACGTTTCTGGGTATGAACGGGAACATTGGCAGCGCTGTGACTCAGATAACGCCTCGCTCTCACTGGTTCAGTCCACACATGAAGTGAGGGGACATTCAGTGTCTCCGACTGCTTCCCTTAAAGCCTTTCTCAGCCTGTCACATGAGACTCAGACACAGAAACACGTACACAGAGATCTAAATAAAGCCTGGTGCTGCTTTATGCAGCAGCATGTGACCGTGCGTTTGACTGATTATCAGGAACATGCAAAGAAAGGGCTTCTATGTACAAGTCTAAGTGAGCAGCAGGTTGTAGCTGTGATATTTTAGCTCCAGCACCTCGTCCTGTGACACACCGTCTTGTGCAGTTTGATGCTCATTATTGATGTTTGAAGCTCCAGGAGGTAGAAAAAGGCTGAAAGCATATTAGAGGTGATACAAGGTGTGACTTCATCAGATTACTGTTCACATCCTCGACAAGGTTAAAACGTCTCTTCCTTCATTCTCAGGAAAATACCGCGAGTTCCACAAGCTGTACGAAGAGAAGCGATTCAGCGAAGCAGCGAAGCTCCTCCTCTCCCTGATGACGGCTAAGATCGCTCCCCGGAGCTTCTGGATGACTCTGCTGACCGACGCTCTGCCGCTGCTGGAGCAGAAGGAGGTCAGTCTCCTCTGAGCATGCTCTGTCCTGCTCACCTGGTAGCTGTTCCACCTGCAAGAAACCGATTCGGTCCAGATGTATGACGACGAAATGTAGATATCTAACTGATATTATTGCTTTGCTGCAGGTACAACAAACATTTTCCATCAAGTGTATTTATTTTTCAGATTATTTAGAAATTTCTTCAGACAAAAAGTAATATTTCACAAACTTAACTTTATGAATTAATAAATCTGCTAATGACAGTAAACCCAACGCTTTTCAGTTTATTAAAGATTAAGAGTAAGAAATCCTGCTGACATGTTGCTTAGAAACCAGTTCAGCCGATTGATTATCTCAGAACAGTTGACCAGCTTCTTTAGTTGAACTATTCACCAACTAATTATTGCTGCTCTGCTGAATTACTGCAGTCCTGAATAAACTGAAATATTTCTGACAGACGTTGACTGAAGTGTAAATTACACACAAGCCCACTTTGTTTGAATTTAATATCAAAACATTTTACAGTTCGATCAGATTTTAGTTGCATAATTAATTCTTTTTAGTCATTTACTCCAAATAATTAATCTTATTAGTTCAGTCGTATAGAGGCCAGAGGATTTACGAGCAGTTTAATGATGGATCTGTGCACACTCCTGTCTCCTTAGAGAACTGTGTTGTACAGGTACAGGTCCAGTATGAGGGAATAATAAATGTTAGCTCATGATTGTGTGATTTAAATGCCTGATCTTTGACAGCAGCTTGAGAGCGTCCTGCTCTGCGTTGTATTGTCAGAACAAGTTTTATGACCTGGATGATCTGTGCACTAGTGAGCATACACAGAGGCGACCTCTTGCAAAAGAATGATTTTTACTTTTCTTCAGTCCACATTTGCTCAAAGCAACCATGTCCACTCTCCAGGTGATCTTCTCAGCAGACCAGACCTATGAGCTGATGTACTGTTTAGGGGAGCTCACCTCCTCCCTGAACACGGCGGCTCCCGCCACCGACAGGCCCATGCAGGTAAGACTTCCCGCACAGCGTTAGTCCTGCTCACACGACGGCGATCGCTCTGCAAAATAAAGGACTCTGAGACTAAAGTGCTTCATGTCCATTTGGGGCTGATGTCCGAGGTCAGAGTTGACCTGCCTGCCAGACACATTCACTTCACCTCAGTAGTGTTGTGTTTCTCCACTTCAATGGGAACACTGGAACACAGTTTCCTTCTGATGCTTCCAACACACAGACTAGCACTGGTCCTGTGTGGACACATTCACTCCACAGCCTGGAATCTGCTGAACCTCTGATCGATTTGTCCTTTCAGGAGGAGGACATCGAGCTGACCAAAGTGGAGCTGCTGAGACTGGCTCTGGCCAGAAACCTGGCTATGGCCATCGTCAAGGAGGGAACAGTGGAGACATGAAGGCTGACTGTCAACACAAAGCTTTTCTTTTGCATTTTTGTACTGTATATATGAATCAGTTAATCAAAACGTGTTCTTTGATAATAAAATGCTTTTCATGATGTTCATTGAACTCCTCTGTGTGGAAGTTTAAATAACAGAATATGAAACGTCCATTAGGAGTTTTATTTGTTCATGCAGCGAACACATGGCACATCTGACACTATATAAAGACCCACCGCTCTCCCAGGACCTACACATGTTCACATGACTCGTACAACAGCAGGTACATCACACACTATGTACATTAAACACTCTGTACATCCAGTGTGACGACCAGAGGACAGATTCACGTGTTCAGACCCGTTCACTGTTTGCACACTTCAGTCATCCCTCTGCTCCTACAACCCAAAACTTTTACACGCTAACTGAAAAACATGTGAAGATAAAAACGAAGCCAAACTCTGACCTCTGTGATGAAACCGTTGTGAGACGTTGATGAGATAAAACCATTTAATGAAGCGCTGAATGTTTCCAGGATGCAGTTCATGGGACTGTTTGTTTATTAGGACTTACGCAATAATTTACATTTAGTCAATAAAACCGCACGGCTCTGATGTCTCAACGTCAAAATCCAGTCCTCTGTTTTCTGTTAAACTCATCTCTAACATTTAGAGAAGTCACAAATATTTCATGAGTTATATTTATCTTTTTGGTTTCTCTAAACTCCTTCCTGGCTGCTGTGTGTAGAATCTGGACTTCAGCAGCGCTTTATGTTTCCCATGCACAAGATTAAACACTTCATTGAGGTCATGTATCCTCACACCTCTTCTGTCCAAAACTGGCCCGTCGTTGGGAAACTCATGAGCTAACAAAGTGTCTGGGTGAGGTACTGTGCCACCACATGCAGAGCGAGGGCGCATCATTGGGTCAAAATGGCAATTTGACATGCATTTCAAAATAAAATCTTCAACAGCGTGTGCACAGAGTGAAGGGTCTGAATCCTCTCTGGATCCAGAGTGAGCTGATTCGGTAAATGTACCCACAGGTCCACACTGGAGAGAGGTCTGCCTGGAGACAGACTCTCATCAGGTTGCTCAGTTCACATTGTCAAGGTTGAGTGATGCACTGAAATACTATGAACAGGAAATAATAAATATGACAGAAACAGTCCCAATACTGACACTGGTAGGAGAACAAAACATCTTCAAACAGAAAACACGACTATGGAGACCTGCTGCCAGACACATGACGACAGCCTGGGTATACCGCCTCTCACATACTCCCCAAAACACAACTAAGCAGTGAAGTAAAACCAGTGGACGACTCAAGTTGCATCTGCAATTATTGGCCTTCAACGTCCAGATGGCTAAAACACACACATCCGTCCGTCTTCCTGCAGCAAAAGATTTATGACAGAATTCTCTATTTAAACTCCATCTGAAGAGATCGACTGGATTTTTAAGTCTCTGGATATATTCAAGTATACTTCTTGTTCAGCCGGAGGAATAAATAAAAGCACATCTGCTGATTCTCAGACTTCATACCTTCTAACTTCTTTTTAAATATTTGCTGTTCTGTAGTGGAACATTTCAGTTTGAGGCTAATGCGTTGAGTATCTGTAGTACATTCAGATCTGTTGGACCCCCTTTAATATTCACCCTACTTACCAGTGTGAATCTTTGCTTTATTAGCGAAATCTGTTAGTGTTTGCTGTTAACATCTCTGTCCATTAATACCGAACCAAAGAACCGCTATAAGGAATGTAAAGCTGTGGATCGGCGCCCCCCCACCCGCCCTCTGTTCTCTCTGGGGTGGATGTGGACACCCCGTCATGGAGGATGACCGCCTGTCGCTGCTATAGCCGGCCCCACGTCTCTGGCGGGGGGAACTGGTCCACTTCTCCAACCTCGTTGCACAGACGCTCTCCGAGAGTGAAGGCCAGCTTGTAGCGCAGACGCACCTTCTCCTGCACAAAGACCACAACGGACCTGAGTCTCCTCACTGCCACTGAAGCTGTTTGCTCTGAAGCTCTGTGTGGCTGAGTGCTCCTACCTTGGTGGGATTGGCCAGCAGCATGATCTGGGTGATGGAGGCTGGAGGCAGGATGGGGTTAAACGGTGCCAGGTCTGTTCCTGATGGGGGCTGCAGCTTCACCTTCATGGACTGGAGGAGAATGAAAGAGACAGCCAACAGTTTATTTGTATGTCTTTGTTAAAGGATCGTTTTTTCCAGTCTCATCTTTGGTCTCTGTGTTTGCTGCAGGTGACTGAAAGAGAGGGGAAAAAAACAACTCATCAACTCACTGATAAAGCTGCAGTTCCACCGCTGGAACATTTGCAGGGATTCAACATTTGCCTTCACGTTGCAGGGACCGGTGTGGACATGGAAGCTCCTCCCACTTTCATGTGGTGGGAGGAGAGACGACGACTGAACTGAAAACATTTTGTCCTTTTTCTAGATTCCTACTTACTGCACCTTTAATATCCACTGAAACTATTTCATCTCCCAAACAGTCCCTGAGCAAGGGGCCGTGCTTTCTGGAAGCTGAGGGGCGGGGCCTGCAGAGCTGAACCTTTCTGATTGGTCGAGTGCTTGCAGCATTCTATTTCAGCCAATCATCTCACAGTCAGTCGCTGCAGCCACTCTTAAATCAGTCTGCTCACCTTAGATCTACTGTTTTAGGCGCATTGAACTCACGCTGTTGGTCTTTTCAGTGTTGACTCAACAGCAGCGCGGCTTAAATCTCGTCAGGAGGAGCTGACCAGCTTCAGGGACACTTTCTCACACACCAATAGACTAACTTGCATCATCTTTGCAGGTGAAAACACAGATAACCAACAGTCAGAGGGAACCTTTTATTTCTTGTAAATAGTTCTTGGGACTAAAGTGTACTTTATTGTGAAATCCCAGACCAGCAGATCTGTCAGCAGCAGGTCTGAGAGCAGAGATGGACACAACAACCAGCGAGTCCTTCAGTGTTCATAGAGAGTGAACGTGTTGTTTTAAAACACTTGAAAAAATGTGGACTGATCCTTTCACAAGCTGACAAAGACCAGCACATGAAGCTGTGCTGATGTATCGGTGACCCTGGAACCCCGGACGCCCTACTGCCACATGTCCCAGTTTGTTTTAGGTCGAACATTTAAATGAAGATTATGAGCATGAATGAGGCCACGTCCACTCCGTCCTCTCATAGTTAAATCCCTGCTGCAGTCTTACATAGAGATAGATGAGGAAAGGTGAGCGACCTTTGAAAGCACCATGAAACCCAAACATACACTCAACATGGGAGTGAGCATCTCTACCTTGGGCACAGCCGCCTGCAGAACCACGCTGTGAACAGGGAGGGGCGCTGTGTTGAGCATCGAGACCACCATCACCAACACGTCGGGCCGGCCGGGGGGGCAGTCGGACGCAAAGTTGAGCAGCACACGGATACCGTCCTTATCGTAGGCAGTCACGGGCAGGACTTTACCTGAGGACACACGGCAAAGCCAGTCAGCTGTGAGTTACATTTAGCCTCCATCTGGCCCGTTAGGCCCCTCCATCCCTGCCCCTGCTCTTACTGGGTCTGATGGCCTCCAGAGGGACATGCACGCCGCTCAGAGAGACGTCTGAGGCTCTGGCCGGGCTGCCCTGGAGGGGAGGATGGCAGGGGGACAGGGAGCGGAACAAGGGGCTGCCCGGGGCCGAGCCCAGGCTCTGGGCCTTGGTCTGGGACAGAGCAGGAGAGCCGGGCATGGTGCTCTGGAGGAGGGAGGCTGAGGAGGGAGAGCCCTGGCCAGCCACCACAAAGCTGCTTCCTCGGGCCGTCATCTGGCTGGACAAGCTGAAAATCACACAGAGAACAGGACCATGATGCCGTCCAGGACCGTTCTGACCACATCAGACAGCTGAGATCACAGCAGTAATGGAAACAACTTTATCAAGACCGTGGACAACTCTGTACCTCTTGTGATCTGAAAAGCCCATCATGGCCAGGTCCCGCAGGTTCTGCAGACTGTGCGTGGCGGCTGGTTCGACTGGAGGCGCCACCGGACCTGAACAAGCTACGGGTCCGAATATGTCCATACTGGCTGCTGGGCCCTGCAGAGCACACGAGGAGACAGGAAGTGACTGTCTGTCGTTACACACTGACAGCAGCAGCCTGTGGTGAACTGTCTGAGACGTACCTGCAGGGAGGTCCACTGACTAGAGAGCTCATCCAGTCTGGGTTTTGATTGGCTGCTCAGAGAGGCAGGGGGGTCGTTCAGTCCTGAAAGAAGGTGCAGCCATTAGGTTAAAACAAAAGAGGAAAACTTGTTTCTTGGTTTCACAAACTACACGAAGAAATTTCAGCAAAACTCTGACATTCTGACAAATACACAGAAGTCCTTTCCAGCAGAGCAGGAGCTGGATGCTCCTCTGGTATCTGACATTCAGGAACCAGGAGGTGCTAGCTCAGCTTCTCCAAGCTGACGTCTGTGCTTCCATGTTTGCTGCAGGTGGACCAAAGACAGTAACAGGAAAGGAAAGTGGAAATGTTTTTTCACTCTGAGCGAAGGATCGACTTCATCACTGAAGCTGCATTTCCGCCACTGGACTGTCTGAAGGAAACGTACATTTGAGTTTCCTTTGCAGGAATCAGGGTTTGAACTGAAGCTGAGGTGGGCACTACTTTTCTGACATTCATTATTGTAATTGAAGTGACCTTAATGGAAGCTAGACTTCCCTCCTCTCAGCTCCGTGTTCAGTCGTTAGAAAAATCTAGTTTATGACGGGAGATTTGAGCCGATCACAGGTCTGTCCACCTTTGATCCAGTGAGCGAAAGAAAGAGCGACAAAGTTGAGAGCCTTCACCCAGGAGAGGCTTCAACTTCTCTGCAAAGCCACAAGCGAATGTTGGTTTTTGGTCTGACTTATTAAAAGTTCATGCATCGACCTATAATCACACTAGCTTAGCCATCTAGAACTGGAAACAAGGGGAAGGAGCTAACCTGGCAAAACCCCTGACTGAGCTACATGTTACGTCTTCTTTGTTTAATTCATGAGGTGACTTATTTGGGTTATAAGCTGTTGCCAGGCAGACTGCTCCTTTAAGGCCCAATGACAATATTCTACCCAGAGACAGCAGCTCATCATCCAGGAGGGACAGCGCCGTGGAGGCCTTGTCGAGCGGGGGATGACTCGGGCTGCTGCTCTGGCTGCCCTGCGAGCCGGCGAGCCGCTTGGGTGGAGGAGGCAGGACGGGGATGGGCGACGGCGTGAGGCTGGGCGACGGCGTGAGGCTGGCGGAGGCAGGAAGTAAGGGCTGGGGGGCGGCAGGCTGAGGAGGGCTGGGAGTGTCGAGGCCGGCCAGGTCGATCAGCGTGTCTGTGGTGTCTGTGTGAGGTGACACAGCATCAGAACACACGGAGCAGAAAGAAATCCTGTTTTAATGTGCAAACAAACAGCCCGGTCCGTCGCTCACCGCCCTCACTGTGTCCGGCTGCAGACTGAGGGTCCTCGGTGTCGCCGTTGATCGGCTGTCCCTCAACAACCTTCTTATACGAGTTGATGACCCTGGAGAGGTCGTCGCTGGCCTGAAGGATGTCACCTGGGCAGGTAAAAGGATGCAGGTGGTTACAGATCACACACAGTGGCAAAGAAAATGTGACAATAAACAAAGTCCAACAAACCCAGACTGGTGTCATTGTCTTCTGTCTCAGTGGCCATTTTGAAGGCGGCGCGCCTCAGCTTGTCACAGCGCTCGTAAAGCTCCTGAACAGAGAAACAAAGGAGGCGCTGTGCAGCTTCAACAAGGCTGTGACGCCACATAATGTCTGCAGTTCCACTGAGTCAGACTTAAATATCACAACACAGACATTAAAAACTGTAAATGATCGAATAAAAGGATCAGGTCCAGCAGTGAAACACTCTGACTGAGCAGCAGGATCACGTCCAGGCAACACAATACTAAGACTCTGGTAGTTTTCGGCTCAGCTGACGTGTTGGTCCTCCAGGTTTGTCGCTGCAGAACAAATACGTTTATCATGTCGATGTGTGTGTGGACACACACCTTGATGATCTCCTTATCGGAGTCGGTGGAGCTGTCTTTGTTGTAGTGGCTCAACATCTCCGTCAGCAGCCTGACGTTGATGTTCACCTCCTCCAGGGTGTGAATTCGCTTCGTGACCTTCTGCACCCGAGCGTCGTCCTGGCAGAAACAGAAGAACGCAGTAAAAGTCAGAAACAGTGCGAGAGGTAACGCTGACACCAACATCACAGCTGCAGTCACAGAGCTCCATGTCTCACCTCCTTCACCATGTTTTTGATTAATCTGTTGGCTTCCTGAAGGTCTTCTGGATTTTTACTCCGAAGAAGCTCAGCAAGAAGCTGCACAGACGCAGACACACGATCAAACCTCAGCCTGCTTCTTCTAGTTAGAACTTAACAGACACATGAGTGGTTTGGACAGCAGCTACAGAGTTACTTCACTACATCACAGAGCAGGTGTGTTTCCTTCAGCCTCCCACCTTCCCCATGTCCTCATTGTCAAACACCGGGTGTTTGGGTCGTGTCGGAGGAGAAGGGATCAACGTCCGGTCCAGCGGTAACTCCGGGTCATTCGTCACAAGGCCTGGAGGTGAGAGCGAGGACGGTTAAACACTTCATACTTCACATCCTGCCATTGGCATCCACAGCTCTACACACCTTGTCTCCTCAGCGTCTGGTAGGCTTCACCGATCTTGGTTTCGTTTGGAAAAGCAACCGTCCAGCTGTACAGCATTTCTACAATCTTCCCCTTCACCTTCTCAGGTGCGCTGTCGCCCATATACTGGAAATAGAGTCATTATAAAGAAGCTGGCTGGTTGTTCATCTCACATTTTATCAACACAAGGTCTGTTGAAGGCAGCTCACCTTTGGGGAAACAACTTTGATCAGCTCATTTAAAAACCGGTACTTTCCGACTTCATTGTGGAACCTCCTCCCGCAGTTCTTCATACATGCTTCCAACACCTGCACACAGGACAGCGATGTGAGCGGTCGGGCCACTCGCTCAGACCAACATGTGACAGCCACGTTCACCGTTTCTTACTGTCAGAGCCTGAAGCGCCTCCCATTCTTGTGGTGAGTGGATTTTGTGCACGAGTAGAGTCACTGCTATCTGGGGACTGCAACAAGAAAGTTCAGGTGAAGATGGTGACCTAAGCTGACTGATGGTTCTTTTTACAGTGTGTTGTATGAAACGTACCCCTCCAGCTCCTTGTTGATCTGATCACAGAAGCCGATGATGTACTCCCAGTCCTCTTGTCTGTTTGTTGGATGGGTGGCTTTATCTGTTAGAGAGGGACATTTACTAACCACTTTAACACAAGCATAAAACTCATTAAAGCATCAACACATTTAAGCAAAAATACTCCTCAGTTAGTCATTACAAGCAAAAGTTGTGCTTAAAATAAGTACAAACGAATTATCAGCTAAATACACTGAAAGCATCAGGAAACAGAGCAGACATCCTGTTAAAATGTACACAAGCAAAATAAAATGTGACCCAAACACTGGGGACACTTTTGCAAAGGGCTAAAAGCTAAACAGCCTCTTCAAAATTCCAGCAATGCACTGTATTTAAAGTATGCACAGATGGGTGACGAACAAAAGCTTCAATAAGTTTCTGATCTCTGCAGCTGGGAGACACAATATTCTTTAAATTCCCCCAGTGGTAGCGAGTGGTATCTGACATGTTGGTCCAGAGTTTCCCACCGGAGCTCCGTTGGGCTGAGACGCTCATCAGACCCTTCAGTGACCTGCTGTGCATCCTTGAAGAGACGAAGAACCGCCTCCATCAGGGAGAAAGGATTAGGATTGATTAGACAACGTCCTCTAAGGAGACGAACCACGGCAGGAAAATGCCCCTCACTGCATAAAGCCACGTATCCCTTCACTGTCGGGGTCAGAGAATCATCTTCCTTTAATTCGTCACTTGTCTGTATGATTTGCATCTGTTTGTCCGCTGCACGGCTGCTGCTGTAGAAGCTGCTTTCATCTCTGGCCTTCTGTGGAGGACAGATTTAGGCCACTATTGACTGAAACTTGAAGTTTGACGGGCTGCATTTAAAGCACTTTGAAAACACCACGAATAGACCCACTGGTCTGGCCCACTCTGCAGAATAAACTGGCCATGCCAGACTGGGTTTGTGACCCGTCCATCCTGAACCTTGGCAGCAGAATCCCAGCAGAGCCACGGCTGCAGGGAGCAACTGGTCGGTTTCTCTTTTGGTTTTATGTTTGCCTGTCAAATCAGCAACAAGTCAATGTAGCTAAAATTGAAATATTTGTATGAAATCTAGTGGACTACAATTCTACACTCCTGTTTTTGTCCAAAGATCCAACATCAGCAGGACCGAATCAGGAGAGAACAACCTGAGAACAAGTCCAGTGTCGACCCTCGGTGCCTGCAGCCAGGACATGTACAAAGAAGCATACAACGGAAAAGTGCCTCCAAACTGCATGTAAATGTAGGTATGAGTTAAATGTAGTTATTCTGTGAGCACAGCTCTCTGTGTAGGTCTGACTGCTGGCAGCACACTAACTGTTATCACTGTTCATGGTCTCAGAGCTGCTCTGTTCCTGCCCTGGAAGCTGCTGAGGTGACCCGCGTGCTGACAGCCTGCTGTCTCCAGAGGAGGACTGGTCCAGCTCTGGTCCAGCTCTGGTCCAGCTCTGGTCCAGCTCTGGTCCAGCTCTCCTCCATCCTCCATCCTCCATCCTCCATCCTGCTGCCGCCTGAATCTCTGCTAACTGCGACTCTCGGCGCCATGACAGCTTCTGCTCGGACCCCTTCTCTGCCCTGCCACCCGGAACAACGCCTCTAGCTAATTATGTGCACTATTTGATTCATAAAACAGGATTAATCACTCACTGAGCCAGGATTCAAGCGACTCCCCTTCCTGGTACGCCATAGCACTACAAACATCGCGTGATGTCACCGGCCTGTGCGCGAGAGTCCAGAAATTATCGGTCGGAATTATGTTTTCACAAATTACGCACAATATCTGATATCTAAAAAAATATTATTCCTCATCTCGGTGATAGCACTGAAATCTGTTGAATGTTTTTTTTCTTCAAGTCCAACGTTCTTTTCCTCTCAGGCAGCTGCAGGACGTACTAACCCGGGGTCCTATCTGACACATTTTCAAGATGGCGACTTCCCTCTCAGGATTATTAAAACCTTGGACACCGAGGTAATCATTGTTTTTACTCAGATAAACACAGTAACAGGTGACGTTAGCTCGCTAATATGAGCAGGGTTTTGCAATATTTTTTGCTGTGATCATAAAAACAATAATCTAACTTTCGTCGCCGTAAAACTAGCTCACTAGCTAGGTAGCTAGTGAGCTAACTAGCTAGCAGCAGTGTTCAATGCAGCATGGATGTAGAGGTGACAAGGCTGCATCAGGTTTGATCTTTATTCATGTTCTCATTACATTAGTGTCTTAATTATCCTTTTAAACCAAACGATGTATCATCTCCGCCACAAACTGTCAAGAATAACGACAAATCATTTGGTTAAAAAAACACAGATTTTTTAGCTAATAGTTCCATGAAACTGAAAAAGCAGCATATCTTCACATTTTTAGCAATGAAGCATCTACAAGATAAATCACATCTGTTAGTGCTGCAACTCACGATTATTTTATCAGGTAGGCTCCCAAATAGTTTCTCGGTTTATTCACTGGGTAATGCTGCGAATAATAACTGTATTTACTTCGCACTGTCGAGTGTTTAGACAAAGTACAAGCAGGAACCAGAAGGCAACTTCAGTTTAAACAAGAACACAATGCAGAATACCACATGTCAATAGTAGTCACGTCAAGCCACTGTTATTTAGAGAGCAAGTCTAAAGCAAAGTGCTTTCCAGTAGTTTAGACATTTACCTGAGTAAGTTTAAATATTAAGGCTCAGGCCCAAGTATGTTATTTATAATTAATAAACTCATTAGAAAGTTGAATATTGTGGTTAAGACTGTGTAATATTAAATCACCAACAAATTTACCTTATTAAAATACAGTTTTGCCCTACACTATTATCTATAATGTAAACTTGTCGTCTGTTGTCGACCTTTCTGTCTGAATGCAGTTCATATCTGCAGGAAATGGAATTTTTTCATTGAAACAAAACATAAAATCATTTGAAGTCCTGCAACATTCCCAAATGACTGACGCTCTCGAACTTGTTATCACTGCTGATTCATTTTTTTTGTATATCAATCGGTTGATTGCTCTGAATTTAAAAGTGATCTTCTCAATCAGTCGGTCAGACTTTATTTTCATACAGCTCAGGCAGAGCTTCATCTGAAAACACAGAGTACGTAAAGTAAAGCTAGATTAAAAATGAATAGATAAAGGTTAAAACCACTAAAATGTAACGACGACGTCATCGTAGATCTGTCTGCAAACGCACAAACCAGCTGCTAATTTCTAAAACTCCCCTCCGTCATGTGCAGGGTGCTGCTGGTGAGATGGGGCAGGTACAACCCCTACTACCTGGAGCCGGAGGTCAGCAGGGAGGCCTTCAACCAGCCAGAGTCAGAGCTCAGCGCCAAAGAGAAACAGCAGCGAGAGTTCAAAGCGCTCAGACCCATCAAGGCAGCGACCAGCGAAGTCACCAGCTCGGTCTTCAACGACCCGGACCTCAGGTAGAACCAGCAAACAGCCCAGCTCACCAAGAATGGAACCGTTCTAGTTGTACATATGAGTCAGGTGAACGTTTTCTCTCTCTGTGCTTTTCAGTAAATTCATCAACATGATGATGAAACATGGAAACAAGGTTTTAGCCAGAGAGATCATGACACAGGTGAGAAACAGAACCTCACTGTTTAGTGTCTTAAAGCTGTTGTTGACTTTATAAAGACACAACTTTGTACCTCTTCTTTTGTTAGACGCTGGAGAACATAAAGAAGAAACAGGTGGAGAAGTACCACAAAGCTCCAGAGGGGAAGAAAGAAGGGATTGAGTGCAACCCCTACACCATCTTTCACCAGGCTCTGGAGAACTGTAAGCCTGTCATTGGGCTGGCCAGCATTCAGAAGGGTGGAAAGTATTACCAGGTGAGTGTCACTGGTCTGACAGATTAGTGGAAAGGAGACTTTTTTTTTTTTTTTTAACATGAAACTGTCTTGAGGTTTGGTTTCCTTAACATCTGTTGATGGTGTGCCACCAAAGCAAAAAGACAATTGTCTTCTGTCTGGTCTCCATAGGTGCCCATCCCGCTCTCAGACAACCGCCGGCGCTTCCTGGCCATGACCTGGTTGATCACAGAGTGCAGAGACAACAAACACAGACGCACGTACATGTATGAAAAACTCTCCCAGGAACTGCTGGCTGCTTTTGTCCAAGAGGGAAACGTTGTCAAGAAGAAGCATGAGCTGCACAAGATGGCCGAGTCCAACAGAGCGTACGCCCACTACCGCTGGTGGTAGGAAGAAACCTTGCAGGACTGGACGCTGTTGATTCACATGTTTCTGCAGATTGACAGACTGGACAGACGTCGTGTTGGCAAAACAGAGTGCGACTGTAAATAGTGAACAGCACGAACCTCGTTGGTGGAGGGACAACGTTGTAGGAACTGCTGTCAGGGAGATGAAACACGTATAAAGGAGAATGAAACATGGCTTATGAGCACTGTTTGTATCAAGAAACGAGTATCATGTTCAATAAATAACCATAATTAATCGTATTTATAATGAATACACAATAAACTGAAATAAGAAAAACCTTCCAAAGATTTATTAGAACAAATAACTTTGCATTTAATGTACAACCCAACCATTAAAAAAATGGAACTGAGTGAAGTAAAAGTGTTGCAGCACTTCGATAAAATAGATTTATACTGCAGTCAGATCTGTGGCCTGTGATTAGGGGACGTAGATCATTTCCACTGTGAACTCTACAACATTCAAACCTGCTTATTCCTAATTGCATCAAGTCCTTTTTTTTTTTTAAGTCTTTACAATCGGTTTAATACACAAACCTGGTTTTTCTCAATGTGTTCAATCAGTTTGGCCTGAAAGTGGTGACAGACATCAAAGCTGTCCTTCAGTCCCCCCTAAACACTGAAGCACAAAAGAGGATTCTGGGAGATGAAACACTTCTGTGCTTTGGTGAGCTTTTAATTAAACTGCTTCTCATGTTTAACGTCTGAGTTCTTCAGATACTGACTTGTCAGACAACCTTTAAGCCAATTTACATTTAGCTTAACTTATTTACATTCTGCAGGTAAAGAGATGAAGTGTTAACAGCAGAGCGTTGAGCTCATATGTCTGTCTGAGTGGCTCCAAGGCACAGCTTTGGTTGAAGACCTTAAAGCCGTCACTGAGTGAGTTCAGCTACATCTTGTTGCTCGTTCCGATGGATCCTGAAATCATGTGAAAAACACTTTCTACTCGCTTCATACTCAACTGACCTGCAAATACATCAATGGGGGAACGTTCTCCTGGAGTGCCAAGACCAGCTTCGACTGGAGTCACCTGCAGAGGGTGATGATGTCCATTTTTTGTTGGCACAACTTCTTAAAACATAAACTGAGACTCCAGAATGTATTAAAGATCTGACTGATGCATCTGTAGAAAAATGGTTCAAATACTAAGCGGAACCAATCTTTTGGTCTTTTACTGATCAGCTGTAACAAAGGTTTAAAAAAAGAAAAAAAAGGAAAATCCCTGAATTAAGACAGTACTTCATATAACAAACTGGCCTCATACCACTAAACAGTAACTGGAAAAAGTAGGCGACAATTCCTCTGAACTGCAATGCAAACCTTTAGTAAAATTCAGTTCTATGCTAAAGTATCTAAATTATCAAAATACTTTCCAATTAGTTTAAATGTAACCATAAAAAATAAAGCAAAGACCAAATCAGCTTACATCTGACTGGAATGTCTTCCAACGCCTTTGGATTTGGTAAACTAAACTTGAAATGTTCTCAAAACAGGAATGCTAGAAAGATTATAAACATAAAACCCTTCAGTGTCTCTAAAGTGTCCTGAATGTGGCTAAACCTCGTTGAATGAACTCGTGACCTATTGCACATTCCACATCCAAGACACCACGTCTCAGCAACATTATCAAACGCAGGAACACTCCAGCAAAACCAAACTCGTCTTACGGTTGATGACCTGCCATCTTCTGCCTGATTACCTTGAGGTTGTCGCTGCCTATCGTGAAGCTGCTGGTTTTATAATCAGGTGTGACTACAGAGGTGCCTGAAGGTCCTGATGGTCAGCGCCCTGCTCCCCGCCTCCATCCTAGTCAGAGATTTCACTGTAGTAGTACTTGTGGGCGGTGCTGCTGAGCATCCATCCTCCGGCCCTGAACTCCAGGATCTCCAGCAGCAGCAGGCGGGCCATAGAGCCGAGGCCCTCCTGCAGCAGGAAGCCGTCCCGCAGCAGGAAGAACAGTTCGTCCATCCGCTGGTTGTTCACCTTCTCCAGCTGCTCTCCAATGCGATGCAGCTGCAGCACCAGGCAGTCGACCTGCAGACGGAGGTGGAGGAGACACACGGCTTCATTCAGAGTTTTCTATATCGAAATGGGACAGTTCTGATTGAAAGTGAAGGAAGTGAATCCCTAGAATAGGATTTGTCAGCTTTGTATAACATGAACACTGTGGAACCACGTAGATATCTCACTGACTGAATGCAGGACCTTCATGCTTGTTTCTCTGACACACATTGTCGAACGTGCACCATCTGGCTTCTTCTGCCTTCAGTGCAACACATTATTTGTCAACACTTATGCTGAAAAAATACACATTCAACCTTTTAACCCAGGGGTGTCGACATCCTGGTCCTCGAGGGCCGCAATCCTGCATGTTTTAGATGTTTCCTTCTTCCAACACACCTGATTCAAATGATCAGGATCGTTATCAGGCTTCTGCAGAGCTTGATGATGAGCTGATTTGAATCAGGTGTGTTGGAAGAAGGAAACATCTGAAACATGCAGGACTGTGGCCCTCGAGGGCCGCGGTCCTCGAGGACCGCAGTTCGACACCCCTGTTTTAACCCTTTAACACAGGGATCTCCAGCTCCGGTCCTCGTGAGCTCCTGTCCTGCAGGTTTTAGACGTTTCCGTGCTGCTACACACCTGACTCACATGAATGGATCATTAACAGACTTGTGTAGTAGAACTTGACAACAAGCTGCTGCAGATCCATTCATGTGAGTCAGGTGTGCAGGACTGTAGCTCACGAGGACCAGAGCTGGAGATCTCTGCTTTAAAGGGTTAAGATGAAAGGATTGTTTGCTGCTGTCACACTTTGACCTCTCACTTGATATATACATGTGGAACTAATATCCAACATGCACAACAATAATAATAATAATAATAATAATACCTGAGCAATACTGATGAAGAACATCACAGTTATGTCTTACTGAGGTAAAGAATGCAAGAATCAGAGTCACAACTGTCTCATTCAGATTCTTTTAGTCATCTACCCCAAACACATGAATATGACATAAGAATTAAATGACCAGGTCCTCTGACTGACCTCCTCCTCGTTCATCAGGGCGTCTGGTTGGGCGAGCCTCATCAGGCAGTCATACACAGGATGGACCAGCGCCACCATCGGCGTGTTGTTCACCTGAGACACACACAGCAGAAGATCCTTAAAACACCTGACTGTTATCACAGAAACCCCCCCCTCTGGTTTTAAAGGTCCGGATCAGGGTCGATCAG